AAAAATGTGTAATCAAATTTTAAGTGACGCAACGATCATAAATCCCTCAAAACTTTAGTCATGACATAATGTCTTTATTTAAGATTATAATATTTTATATATTTTAAACAAATTGTTTAGACATTTTTTTTACATTTTTCAATATATATATATAATATATAATATATATGCATATACACATATACACACTAGATGTTAAATTTAAATATTTTAATACATGTTTTCTTTATAAAATAGTTCATAAAAAAATATTGTATACAAATATTAATTTTGAATGTTTTTATATATGTTTTCTTTCCAAAATAGTTTAGAAAAGTTGTAGGTTACTTCACATATTTCAAAATTAATATAGAAAATTTTGATACTTTTACACATATATTAATATAATAATTTAGATGTTTTTAATATTTTAAAATAATACATATATAAAATTAAAATTTAAAATTATTTAACAAAATAATATTTGAAAATAAATAATCATATAAAAAATTAATTTTGAAGAAAACAAATTGTACCGCAATGAATAATACCGCATTACGTGTAGCGCAATACTGTCACATCTTCAAAGTAGTGAAAAATGTGGCGCAATACTGAAGCAATTTTTTCATACTACTCTTAAGTAAAGTAGCATTGTGACGCAAGAGTGAACAAGCTCTTATAAGCTACTATCATGATATTTATCCATCTGTTAGAATTTTTGTAATTAATCTCTCTCTCTCTCTCTCTCTCTCTCTCCATATTATGAACAACAACCAAGTTCCAAATCCATATTTTTATGTTTGATTTACAACATAAACAATCAAAATTATATAACGCAAAAGCCCTCATCCAAATCCATATTTTATGTTTGATTTACAACATAAACAATCAAAATTATATACCGCAAAAGCCCTCATCATGCTTGCACAATAGAAATGCTTGCGAGTATTAAGAGCATCTCTAATGGTAATTAAATTGCTCAATTTTGCTGCCACATGACACAAAAAATCTATGTGGCATTAAAAAAAAATCTAGAAATATTTCTACTTCTAAACAACTTCTATTATATATTATATTATTTATTCAATTTTTCGATCTTTTTCAACCAATTATAATTTTACACACACACACA